CGCGTCTATGTCTGGGTGGAGGCCAGTCACAAGTGGTGTCTCTCAAGGGTCTGTCTTGGGACCAGTGCTCTTCAACATCTTTATCAACAACAAAGATGCAGGAATCAAGTGCACCCTCAGCAAATTTGCAGATGACACCAAGATGTGTGGTGCAGTTGATACAATAGAGGGAAGAGATGCCATCCAGAGGGACCTGGACAGCCTGGAGAAGTGGGCCCATAAGAACCTAATGAAGTTCAACTAGGCCAAGTGCAAGGTGCTGCACTTGGGCCGGGGCAATCCCAGGTACTTGTATAGACTGGGAGAAGAACTCCTTAAGAGCAGTCCTGCGGAGAAGACTTGGGGGTCCGGGTGGACGAGAAGCTGGACATATGCCAGCAGTGTGCGCTTGCAGCCCAGAAGGCCAACTATGTCCTGGGCTGCACTAAAAAAGGGGTGGCCAGCAGGGAGAGGGAGGCGATTCTCCCCCTCTACTCTGCTCTTGTGAGACCCCATCTGGAGTACTGTGTCCAGGCCTGGGGTCCCCAGTGCAAGAAAGACACGGAGCTCTTGGAGCGAGCCCAGAGGAAGGCTACAAAGATGATCAGATGGCTGGAGCACCTCTCCTGTGAAGAAAGGTTGAGGGAACTGGGCTTGTTTAGCTTGGAGAAGAGGCGGATTCGGGGAGACCTCATTGCAGTCTTCCAGTACTTGAAGGGAACCTATAAACAAGAGGGGGAGTGACTGTTTACAGGGGATGATAGTGACAGGACAAGGGGGAATGGTTTTAAACTAAGAGAGGGGAGATTTAGGTTGGATATTAGGTGGAAATTTTTCACTCAGAGGGTGGTGAGGCACTGGAACAGGTTGCCCAGAGAAGTTGTGGATGCCCCACCCCCGGAGGCATTCAAGACCAGGCTGGATGGGGCCCTGGGCAGCCTGCTCTAGTGGTTGGCAACGGGGGGTTGAAACTAGATGATCTTTAAGTTCCTTTTCAATCCAGGCCATTCTATGATTCTATGATAAAGAAGCTTTTCCCACCCAACAAAACAATCTTGAACAGCCAGTTTGTTTGCTAATTTAATATATGCTCTGCAGTAGAGCTGAAATACTATCTATGCAGAAACATTCTCAGAAGAAGGGCTTCTTAACTGTCCCATAAGATATACACAACAGGTCACTGCCTTTAGCAGGGCAAGCGATGGAAAGTGAAGGCCAAGACAAGTCTAGAGCAGTAAATGAAGGGATAGGTAAAATAAAGGAATAAACTAAAAGGTAAGGGGAAGCACAGAAGTAGACAGAGCAACCCCTGAAGAACAGCTCTATAACAAAACAGCAAAATAAAATTATTTTTCACAAGAAGCAACTTAAATAATAAGTACATGAAACACTGATGAAACATTTGAGAAAAGGGGAAAAAAAGTATACCCAAAGTGTCTTAAAATTCAAGTAAAAATGTCTTCAGCCCAACTCCATAGTTCTCCCTTTCCCCAACTGTCAAATGTTGTTCAGAATAATTATGGAGAAGAGAAGAAACTCAAGTCATGGTAACAGCTACCCAACGGCTAGCGCCCATATTCATTTGCATGAAGTTTTTTTAATCATACTGTGGGAATTTAGATGTGAAATTAACACCATTCCAACCTATATTAAGTATAGTTCATACAGTTAACAATAAGCCATAAATATATATGACTAAAACCAAATATAACAACTGGACAGACAAATGTGTTACCATAGAAGCTAAGAAAAAAGACAACAATTTACATTTAAGTTGAGAGCAAGAAATAACACCTAGATTCCTTTTGTATTAGAAATACTAATCGAAAGATTTTGCTGTGTTTTTGTTTGAGATTTACTTCCACCGCAAAAATCTTCTGTTTTGTGTAGGCAAATAAAAGAATACAAGCTTAAACTGATTTACTTAAAAGTACTTATTTATTTAGAGCTTACACATCTCACTATTGCTTGATAAAAGCAGACTTACATGCAAACTTTCAAGAAAGGATGTCAAAATCAGAGTTTTTTTTAATTTAAGAAACTTCAGCCTCCAAAAACTTCATTTCCAAAGTCTTTTTAATCACTTCTCTATTCTCATTCATATCCAACACTACAGTATCTGAAAAGCACTTGAATAAAAAAAGTAATGCCACTAACTGATGTTCATCATTACTATTTTTTTTGGAGGACAAACTGCCTTCATTTAAAACTGCAGGTAAGCATTTCAGTAATTTAACAGGTAATTGTTAGAAACAGAAGGTACTTTCCAAAACACTTACCAGAAACTGAGAGAAGAAATCAGATCACTAAAGAAAAATACCCAAGTTTTAAAGTATACTATCAATCAAAAAGCAAGATAAGATTTATCTATTACTACAGCCTAGACATGTTCCATCAGACAATTATCAAAATAGAAGCTTTTACATTCAATTTGTTATACTGAAGTCCATATACTGTAAGCTTATTTTTCACATTAATTCAATTCTTAAGTTAAAAAAGTTTCTAAACTAGTAAAATCTGGAAACACAGTCAGAGAAGGAGAAACTAAAAGGATATTTGTGCCACACATTTTTCCTCTGACAGAAATTAGTTCCAATGTTAAATGAACTGAATCCTCTTCACTAAAGGACCCAGATTTTGCATTTTTTTATTTAGTAATGAAACAATAAAACTAGATACTTTTCAGTACAAAATGCCTTACCACTGGAAGCTGGGGGTAGTTCTCCAATCACAGTTTTAAGGCCAATGCTTGAAATGTCACGTAACTGTTCTTTATCTGAAAGCATGTTTGTACAGAGGGTATCTACAATGGTCTCCACTTGATACTCCTTCACCTTACTCACCAAAGGGCCAAGGCTGTACAAACAGAAGAAAAGTATTAAATCTGCAACTCTAAATAAAACCTCTCATTTTATTTCAGTATTTTGCATTCAAGTCACAAACTTAAGGTTGATTTTGGTAGCAATATAAAGCAGAATTTTAAAATCTCAAAATCTTCAACCGGTTGGGTTAATAACCTGTCTCCATAAACATAGCAAAAATACTGGTTTAGTACATGGTTTTTATCTAGTGGTGGAAACAGTTTTTGCACAACTTTTCTGCTTCAGTCTCAAAATGAGAGTCCCTCTTACTTCTCACTTAATGCCAAGATCTATAACAAAAGTTACCTAGCCAAAGCCATCAGTTTATGTGCTTGATCATCAGTGCCTGCTTAACGCACAGACAAGTAAGCAACCTTAATTACTGCAGCTTTATTCTACACAAAGCTTGGGTTCAATCTGATATACATTCAGATTCACTCTATACCTTAGAGTGCCTTCCTAATAGAATGCAAATGGTAAAATTAAGTAGTAATGACATGGCATGCTCTCCTTCAAAGAGACTCCCAGAACCACTATACACGCAGCACACAGTAACATCTCTTTCTCCTGAATTGTCTTCAGTCATTCCAACTGTTCTGAAGATCACAACAATCTCGTATTCACTTGTCAAATGCTCCCACTTGTTCAAAATACTAAAACCACAGATGTCCCAGTATAATCTAGCTCATTGCTAAGAAATACAGCATCCTTCATCATCTTCCTAGCCCTATCACCAACTTTCAGCATCTGTCCACTGTTAACGTTCTGTTCCAAAAGGGAAGTTACGCAAAACCAGAGCCTTATATTGTCTCTATTTCCTTCCATTCACCTGTGAAAAACCTCCATAAGAACAACTTCAAGAACTTACTCTCTCCTACTACCCCTCCCACTTCTCACTCCAAATTTGCTTATCTAGTTTCTCCCTATTTTTAAAACACCTGCCTTCAGGCAAAGCAGCACAGAAATGGGAAATTAATTTTGAAATACTTTAAATTACCAAATCTTTTAATCTAACTCAACTCCCTCAAACATACTACATTAACAATGAACACATCAAATTCTGAAAAATTAGCTTTAAATAAGCCATGCTATAGGCATTCCTATCATCTTCCATCAAAAAACAGTACAGTTAGCCTACACATACAGTAACTACTCTGAAAGACATAGCTCCCTTGTTTTGTAAGCTTCCACTCTCTGTATGTTGGTCTTGCAAGCTGCTCTCTTTAATGCTCTGTGGTGACATTCATAACATTACTACCCCATCAAGAAAGCACACTTACTAACGAGACATCAGCACTAGAGATGAGATGCAACATGAAGCTTAGGCTCTGCACCAACTCTGACAGAAGTGAGGGCAGGAGGACAAGGAGCTGTGTGCAACAGTCACATAGGAGAAAAAGCAATGGCTTGAGGCAAGAATGGAGACAGCAGCAGGAAGGACCATCTACAGAAACTGTGGGAATAACGAACTAGAAGTGTAGCCAACAGCAGAGTTAACAGAAATACAGAAGTATCTCCAGAAAACTATTTATTTTCTTCTGAATTAAAGGGATAATGGACATAATTCTGACTTGGCCTTGTGTACAGACCCACCCGTAGTTATGTTTTGCAGCTGCTCCAGATGTCCCACCAAGGACATCTACAGCCTGATTCTCAATAACTTTTCCTCCTGTGACACACACTTCAAGTTACGCACATCACCGCTGAATTCAACTTTGTCCATGCTGAGAAATCACAGAAGTTTTTCAAGACATTCTCCATACATGTTCTCAGTGTGAACTTTGATGAGTTGTAAAGTGTGAGGACATTATTAAGCAAGCCGTTTGTATCAAAATAACCCAGTTAAGATTTTGAGGAGTGGAAGATGTGGAAGGCTATTATTTTTTAGGAAGCATTTTTCAAAAGCTTAAGTTTTGCTGCAGTTCTTGTCAAAGACAGGGCCCAACTGGCAGTACAGAAGTCAAAGCAAGACTGTGCAATAGTTCCATCAGATTTGTGCTGAGAGGACAGAGAGCATTTAAGTGGTTTTAAGTGCTGGGCTAAGAGGCCACGTCTCCTACTGCAACCAACAGAGACAAACGTTATGGATCAAAAATCATAGCTGTTTGTGGCTTACAAGAGAGGACACAAATTTTGTATTTACCCTTGAACAGTGTACACAATGTTCACCAAAAATCTCTCTAAAAATCAGAACTACAAAACTGAAATATGAAGAAATCAATGTATGAACAAATGCAGAAGAAGGCACATCTTAAAGCCAATCACAAACTGACTGTATTAGGACTACTTTAGAATGTAATGCCTCCATATAAACCAGTTTTTTCCACAATGTACTTCAATACTGTACACATCTGCTTTTCATTAAAGTTGATTCTAGCAAAGCTAACTGAGACTAAATCAATCTCTGTAGGGCTAGTGAACACTGATTTTGGAGAGCTGAAGTCAAAATGAAACACTACAGAAAAAAATGAACAAACTAACTTCTTACAAAAACAAGACTAAGATCAGGAAAGCAAAGTTTAAATTTTCAAATATATGCCACTACTCACTACAACTATGTCAGACTTTTGAGAATGCAATGATTTAGGACCATATGGTTTCATTGAAACATTGAAGTATGTATAAGTTTTACAAGCAGACAATGAAATTATTTGTAAAACAGATTAACTTAATTAACAATAAACCAACTTACAACTAGAAGCATTTTCCTAGTTCAATTCCTTGTCAAGTGCAAAAGGAGTATCCTGTCCAAAGATGGACTGTTTACCCATGCTTAGAAAAAAAAATAGTAATATTTGGAAGGTTGTAATATATTAATTTGCACTTAATTTTTTTTTATTTGAAACAAACAGCAATTATCAAACTTCCAAAACCATTCAGCCATAAGTTAGTTTGATACACAAGGTTAAATATTTTTCCCCCTCCCCAAAACTAGCCTTTCAAAGCACTTTACAAAAACAAAACAAGTTCAAGACACTAGGGAAAAGGTGGTAAGAGAACTTCCAACATCATACATTTGATTGTACAATGTCATAATGGAGTTGCCAGATCATGCTACAAAGCTAAACATTAATTAACAAATATTAATATGCAGTTCAAGTAAAAGGAATAAAATCAATATGTTATATTCTAATTGTACCAGATTACTCGAAAGAAACTGGACGCAAAGTACTTACTTTCAGATCTTGGTGACTGTAGTGATCTTTGCCCCTTATAATGGGGCAAAACATGTTTTGCTTTTATTTCGTAAGATATCTAAAAATATTCTAAATTAAGAGCAAGTTTCACATTTAAAAAACACAGGCATTAAGTCAACTACACAAAACTAGGGGGCGGGGGGGGAATAATTTATAGACAAGCAGAAATTCTGTCCAAGCTAGCAGGATGCTAAGCTCTCAAATAAAACGATTATTCTGAAAGCAGATAGTCCAAAAACCAAATTATGTTATGCTACTTGGGCAAAACTTACTTTATGCTTAGTATTTAAATAATCTACTTCAAACACTATTGTATTACAGAAACCCACAAATATTTTAAGACAGAAAAATCACCCTTGAGTCTTTACAGTCTGAAGGAGAGCTCCTTTCTAAACTTACACATATTAACAGACAATCACAAAATGTACAAGATGTTAAGTGAAACAGTCTTTCTCGTTTTACTGGAAATAGCACTGGAGTTTAACTCAAGCTCTCCAAGAACACAGTTGGATCCTGGGTCAAATACTAGCTAATAAAACTGTTAGACAGGCAGCTTCAAGGAAACACACAGGTCACAGATCACTATTCAGAAGGAAAGACTTGAGGCCATAGCATTCAGCATAAAGGTACTGAAGTCAGTTTAGGAGCTTAGTACTGTATTTGCCAAGAACGACAGCAAGGCAGTTCCACATATTTACTACCTTGCTGGTACTGCTGAGGAAAAGACAAATTCCTGCATTGCTTTAGCAGTGGGATCTGAGGATGTGTAAAAGTGCTGTTAACAAGGAAATATCATCTTGTATTAATTTTACTTGGTGACCTGCACATGCTTTGTATTATCTCAATTTTTTAATGCGACTTGGCACCTTGGACCACATTGAATTAATTAATCAATTATTAATGTATAGCCAAATTTTACAATGAATTTGTTCATTTTATCGATCCCCACTTCTGGTCAGAGCAATTGTCCTTTTGAGTGTGCATGAGGGAAAAAAAAAAAAAAAGAGTAACAGTCTGGTCAAACACAGTTTAGAAACACTTACATGGTAAATCCAGACCCACATATTCCAAGTTCCTCTGAAACTCAGTCTTCTCTTCTGTCTCAGAGCAACAAGTTTTCTATTCCTCCTGCCACAAAGGCTCCCAAACACACTTGGAGTTCCCCACACCTTAGAGGTCCTCTAAGTCATTCCAAAGTCATCCCTCTTCACCATATAGCTCACACTCCAGGACAACTGTAGACCCTCAAAAACCATTGTTCCACTCAATCCGCTCACCCATTTTCTAAAAAAAAAAACAAAACAAAACAAAACAAAAAAAAACCAAACACACAAACAAAAAACCCGACAGTTTTCCAACAGCTCAAACTAAACCGTTACACACAGCTGTTGGATTGGATGGAGCTAGACTGGAGGACTAGGCTGAGACTCAGAAGACTGAAAGCCAGTAATTCCAGCTGGACTCACTATGGCCTTCACTCTTGGACAGCTAGAAGACATGGCTCTATACAGTAGGACAAAACCAAAACACATCTTCCATCCAAAAACCTGTTGTATGTACCCCACTGCTACTACCCTTCATTCACAGGTCTAAGAATTCACAGCAGCAAGAGCTAATCATCATTTAAAAAATGCTCAACAGAAGCAAAAGTCAGCAGCCAAGAAGTGCAAACAGGAGGAGGACACAGTCAATGGAGAAGTATCTATTATATAAAGCAAGCCCTTGCATTCAAGCACTAAGTGTGACTTACAATAGGATAGTAACCAGAGGAAGGTTCAAAGTTTTGGCATTAATGGTC